TGATTATAATATTTGCCCGCTTATTCTTGGGCTTTTCCCATCGCTATATAAAGCAAGACTTCAATATCTCTTCTGTATAATTTTCAGAAGTTCACACACACTTGATACACTCTGTATAGCTTTAACATTCACTCCTGGCATATTTGGCTGAAAATTCATACACAGTTATTTGTGCATTATGTCTTTCCTCTTCTGTTGGTGCCACTACTTCCCCCTACACTCCCCCCTTCTTCCTTTTTCCTCCTCTTTCATACTCTAAAGTCCTTGTAATCTATATTTGGTCCTTTATTTGTCTCCATAACTAGTCAGCTTTGCAAGCAATTTCTTTCATTTGCTAGCACCATCCTAATATCGTTTCCTTTCTTCTGTCTTTTTACCCCTAAAGCTGGTTAAAGGCTTTTTTCAAGCCATTGCTTTGGAGAGCACTACCAGACATTCTCAGGTAGGCTGAATGCATTCAGTCCAAAAGCACATTATTCCCTTAAGATAACTGCTACTTATGATGGGACATTTGGATGGTGTGACCTCCTTGTCCTTATTCACTACTGTTCACAGTTCATTTGTGTGATCTGGGAGACAGGTAGAGGGGTCTGGCAAGAGGAGATAAATATCTGCTGCAAATGAGGGAGGCTGACAATGGCGAAGAGAACTGGGAACAACTCATCCTGAAACTGAAGCATTTGGATTTACAAATTAACGTAATTTTATTATTTCTGTGAATGCCACAGTGTGTGACCTTAACCATAAACAAAGAGAATGGAAATTAGGTTTAAAATGGAAAGCTATGTACGTGGTTCCTGTTCTGCCACTCCCCCCGGCAGAAAAAGCAGGAAGAATGTGCTTAGATTTCTCAAGATATTAGACATGTAGTAATTGTCTCAAATCTTGTTAATACAGCTATGAATGTGCCTTCTGATGAGCAAGTATGTTGCCTTTCCTTTTTTTTTTTTTTTTTTTTGTGAGGAGAAAGCACATCTTCTGTCTCTTGCATTTTGCCACCTAAAAAGTACGTAGCTTGAAGAAATTTTCCAGTTTCCTTGTTTAACTGATCCAGAGTAAACTGAGTATCAGCAGTTCTAAGTGGGTGAGAGAGCTGGACATGGTCACCTATGTCAAGCTGCTTGCAGGAGTAAATATTTGCTGGAGTAGGTCCTGAATTCGCTAAGTTTAATATTATAACATGAAGAAGGAACAATAGAATTTATCATAAAAACTGCAAAACTTTTCATTTTACCAAATAACATTTTAACTTGCATCCATATCGATGCAAAGCAGGTGCCATTTAAAATTCAGAACATTGTCTATAGTCTAAAAGAAAGCAGCTAAAAGGTCCCACTGACCACAGTGATGAAACAAAAATACTAACACTATCAATTTCTCTTCAGTGACAACTCTTTGCTTGCTTTTCAACTTCGGAGATACATACAACTTCTAAACTACAATTTCTAACATCAATCACTCACATCTGCTCACTGTGGTTACAACTCTGTCTTTGATAAAATGTTATCATACCTTCCATCTTTGTTTAGTCAAGCAGGAGCTAAGGGCTGTTTTGAAACTGAGTTGAGTAATCAAAATGCAGAAAAAAAAAAAAGCAAGAAAGAGTTTAAATGCATGTGCTACTTTGGCTCACAAATGGGTGATTCTCTCCTATAAGGTGCCATACATCTGTTCCAGTTCTATTATCTCATATCCCAGGATTATCTGTTCTGTCTCTGAGTTGTGGCTCTTGGATCTGCAATACTATGCTTGACATCAATTTGGCTCACGAAATATTGTCTTTACAATTATAAATTAATTCATATTTTGAAAAAGTAGTGTCTCATTTTCAAATGAAATTGTTTTAAAAAAATCACACCTCAAAACATGAAGCACATATCCGTCTGCTTTCACAGAGAATTAAGTCTCTGAGACTTCAGTATTTTAGAAATCATTTTAGATAGTCATCACATGATATGAAATCATCTGCTTTGAAAGCTGTATTAAAGACAAGCAAGTTTATCTAAATAATACGAGAACCAGCCCAACCCTTTACGTTAACCTCAAAACACCATCAAACTGAAGTTCGAAGAAGTTCAGCCAGTCCCTGCATGATTCCCTCACCCACAAATATTTTAATGTACCTCAGCATCTTGATTTTAGAGAGAATTGGAAAGCAATGTAAGAAACTTGCTATTCAGCAGACACCATAATATACATAAGGCAGTCTATTTGCCATATTTTTCATCCTGATTACTGAAAGCAGAGAAGATACAACCTTTATGAAATGTCAGAAACTATAGATAAATTTCAGAAAAGCAAACAGCAAAATTCCAGGCTCAAAATCACTATGTGATAGATGAAAAAGAATCAGAGCAATAAGAATAAAAAAAAAAAGAAAGAAAGAAAACAATTCAACCAGTAGAATGAAAATGAAAGACTTACGACTTTTCATAGCCATATTAGAGACTATTACGTGAAAGACCTTATGCAAATGCTTAGTGGAAATTTATGTATAGTATTATCCTCTTGACTTTCTGTGTGTAGCAGTCAATTAGTGATTATTCTACATGCTCATCTGTGAACAGAATTAGTAAATAACGGCAGTTCTCCTGCTTAATTCTATAACTAGAAATACATTTATTTTTCTTCAGTGTTTATCATATTCTAAGTCATATTTTAGAATTGAAGACAGTGGTAAACGTGCCTGCATTCTTTGTCAGGACTGGACCTACTGAAATTTCTGAGTGGAAAATAGACTCCAATATAGAAGGCTGCAAAACAGAGTCTATATGCAGCCATAAAATCACAAAACTGATCTTGCATTTTTTCGATGGATACAAGAAAAGCATTACATGACAATGTTGCAAGTTGCTCAAAGGGAAGACTCCTGATAAAATTGCAAGCAGCCATCACTAAACTGTGAGTCAATCACCATATGATGGTCTCAGGCATGATAGCTACTGATTATCACAAGACATTTGTTTAGAGTAAAGCCACTGTTGTGCTTATTATCCCTAACTTGACTGAGTAAATTTGTTTTTCACTCAAGACCTCAAGAATCACCTCAAGAAACACAATGGGGTTAATAGGAGCTCCTTCGTACACTTCAATTGCTTTGGATACGTTTTGTATGCATCATATAAGTAGTAGAGAAAATGCGCATAAAGAATGACACAAGCATCATCTGTTAAAAGAGAATGAAGGTCTAACTTAAATGTGTTAGGTGTTCTCTTGACTTTGTTTTCAGTCTTCCAGATAATTGCTTCTAGTGAGGAAGACACACGTAACTGCTCATTTTTGGCACTTGGAGTGGGTCAATACTGCTCAGCTATGAGTGTCTTCTAGTACTCAGTTTTCAAGTTTTCATGAACCATGTTGAGACTTAAAAGAAAAAAAAAAAAAAAAAAAAAAAGGAATGGTTACTCCCAAAAGGAACCAATGTTGTTTATATGGAAGGCTATTTCTGACATCTGTATTCTGAAGTTCATGTCTGCCAGTTGATTGATGCCTCAGATCCAAGGCTCCCATCTCTAAATGGAAAAAGGGCTTCAGCCTTGAGACCTGTGGCTGGATTATGAACACAGGCACACTGCCCTACTTTGTATTTATTCACATGTGTGAAAATGATAGTATTATCTTCAGTGGTGCACTACAGAGGCTGACACAGCTAATGGACGTTTGTGGAGACACAGGCAGACTGGGATTTGGCAAGTTTCAGCAAGCTGGCTGAAGACATAACAATTTCTTATTTGCTGAACTTCTGCATTTATGACAGCAACCGTGTTGGAGACTGCTTTTGATTTTCCTCTGTATCTCAGTGCAGTATGCTAGCCAGCAACACTACAGCTCTTAAAGAGTGTTTTCCAGCAGAATGACATATTTTAAAGATGACAGCATTATGAACTGTTCCAAAGGAGCTATTTGGCTTTTAAGATGACTGCTCTAGAAAGAATTCTCTGGCTTAACAGCACCAGGAAAAGGGCAAGGGAAATACAGATGCTGCAATCTGGTTAAGGAAATGACAAGCTCCTGTGCTGTAGTACTTAAGCCTGGTCTCTAGCCGACACCATTTATGAGCTGTTACATACGGCTGCAATCACACACAGGCTCAGCGAGGCTTTCCATAGGGCTCACATTTGTTTTCACATTCCCTTTGTAAATGTGGTGCAAATGGTAGCAAATGGACATTAAATGAGGCTTGTATGTGGACTGATCCTTTGTAAATATATAGGTTATTATTAAAGCAAATAATAAGAAGTCAAACTTAGCAACAGCAGCCTCTGCAATAGAAATGAGTGCAAAAATGAATTGTTTCATACATACAGCATTTTCAAATGTGGCTTTTCTGTTTAAACTGTCTTCACTCCAGCCTCAACTTCTCTCTCCATACTAAACCTACAACATATTTTATATTGCCATGGATACTTTGGATGGAAGACAGTGTGCACCAGCAATCAATTTTTCCACAGGAAACCATTCCAAGAACCTGTCCTACATTGCTGGGCTCCTATATAGTTCTTGCTCAATAGTGCACAATCTCTTTCTAAAAGGTATGACTAGTTGGTACTTCAGCTGCTTGTCTACAAATATAGAACAGTCCCAAAGCTTTACCACTCCCCAGGATAATTGCTGCTAACTGCATTTTGCTATCACTCAGCACTGCTAGGTATTTTTACCTTCCTAAGCAGGGTCTGTTAGAATGCAAGAGGAAACATTCTTTAGGGTGGAAAGAAGAAACGTGAGCTGACATATTAAAAAAATCATTAGGAGAATAAAATACCAAAAACAAACAAACAAACAAAAAAAACCCCACAATGATGGCCAAACAGAAGAGAGTTCACATAAATTACATGGAATTAAAGGTAATACAGGTCTTGAAAGGAGCAGTAGGAAGCAGTTCATATGATATAAGCATCTCAGGGCAAAAATGAAGCTTTTAAAAAATAAATAAATAACCAAAGAAAATGGCAATAATAATCAAAGAGTGCAGGCAAACTTCACAGAGAACTTTTACTTACCTCGGCATTCAGGAATGTGAGCCTTTATGTCTCAGTATTTGTTCTTCTTCTTTGCCTCTTTAGAAATTTGTCCCATCCAGCACTCAACCTTCCTCAGGGCAATATTCAGTTAAGTGCCACAAGGTTATTTCAGTCTTCCATCATACTTCTCCCTCAAAAGAACAATATCGTTATTTTTACACTTTCTGGAGAAGAGGTCAGTGGAGGTGGTGGACTGGCCAAGGGTCTCCTCAAGCAACAGGAGTGTGCAGTGACTCCGACTCCCTTTCCTCTTTTCCTCCAGCTGGGACACAAAGCAACTAATTCCCTGGAACAGTCCTTTCCTTCTGTCATTTCCTTCAGGTGTCCAGCAGCAACACACACGAAACCTCTGCAACCTTGGATCTGCTGTAGCCCTTTCCATGGCCTTTCCTAGAAGAACAGGGAGAGCCATAAGTCAGGAAAGTGGAAGGGAAATGGGGCCTGGCCTAACCCAACTACTTCCCCGCTGCTGGAGCAGCCAGCAATGTCTTGCACAGCAATATTCCAGCTCCTGAGGGCAATGATTTGACAGCCAGCAGCACAGCACAGAATCATAGAATGGCCTAGGTTGAAAAGGACCTCAAAGATCATCTAGTTTCAACCCCCCCTGCTATGTGCAGGGTCACCAACCAGCAGACCAGGCTGCCCAGAGCCACATCCAGCCTGGCCTTGAATGCCTCCAGGCATGGGGCATCCACAACCTCCTTGGGCAACCTGTTCCAGTGCTTCACCACCTCTGTGTGAAAAACTTCCTCCTAATGTCTAACCTAAACCACCACTGTATCAGTTTAAGACCATTTCCCCCTTGTCCTATCACTGTCCAACCTCGTAAACAGCCATTCCCTCTCCTGTTCATACGCTCCCTTCAAGTACTGGAAGGCCACAATGAGGTGTCCCCAGAGACTTCTCTCCTCCAAGCTAAACAAGCCCTGTTTCCTTAACCTTTCCTCATAGGAGAGGTGCTCCAGCCCTCTGATCATCTTAGTGGCCCTCCTCTGGACCCGCTCCAAGAGCTCCACATCCTTCATGTAGTGGGGGTCCCAGGTCTGGACACAGTACTGCAGATGGGGCCTCACAAGGGCCGAGCAGAGGGGGACAATCACCTCCTTCTCTCTGCTGACCACTCCTCTATTAATGCAGCCCAGAACACAGTTGGCCTTCTGGGCTGCGAGCGCACACTGCTGGCTCACGTCCAGCTTCTCCTCTACCAGGATGCCCAGGCTGTGCCAGGTTGTGTTCAATGGGGCACAAGGTTAGTATTGCAGATACTGCCTTACCGAAGTAGGAGGATATACTTAATGGTTGTTTATTATTGTTATCAATTTGAGTACCTCCAATTTAAAAGTCAACACTACAGATTCCACTTCTTGATGCATATAGCCTCATTTTTGCCTCACCACATTTATATTCACTGACTTTCAGAGAAAAACCTGATCTAAGACAGAAAGTACAATAACAAGAACGCATACTTTGGTACAGGTTATTTTACATAATTCTTGTTAAACTAAATCAATCGGTGGTAAGATCGATTCACTTTTCCAAGGTTACAGAGTTCTTGCATAAAATGGAAACCTGCAACTTACTCCCCAAGCCTTTTTTATTAACACACCTTCCATATATTCCCTTCTATTTGATCAAATAACTTTTGGGTGTGCAGAGAAGTGTTGTTTTGCAATATTACACAGTCATTTCAGACATTCCTTTTGCTGTACTCAGTCCACTTACCTACAGCAACCTTAACAGATTAGACTAGAAGTATTTGGTAATGTATAGTCACTTGTATTCTGCTCATTTCTCCATCTGCCAATATCTTAGTGCAAATTTTCATTTTGCTATTTACAGCTCAATACAACTAATAGTTGCGGTACTTTCTCTTCCCTCTACATGTTGCAATTCTCCCCACATCCTTCCCAGGGGAAGCATTGTGTCCTCCTGGCTTGATCACATTAAATGCCTATTACTACAGGAGTAAAAACTCTCTTTAAAGCCTTTGTAAAACTCAGCCTTTAAATCACCACTGACTGCTACCTTACACATCTTAGACTTTTAAAGGTATATCCACTCCTTTCTTTAAAACCCAGCTCTCCAGAACAGGCTTATGTTAAATGTAGCTCATCTTGGATTCTGGACTTCTAAAGGGAGGAAGCTTTCTGACAAGGATGCAACTTCTTTGTTAGTCCTTGCCAGCATACATTTCATTTTTTATATGGCTTTTACCATTCTTTCCTAAGTATTCCAAAACTTGCTCCTTAGTTCCTGTTCTTTTAATTGATCACATAAGGGACTTCCTCCAGTCTCTATGCATAACAGGTGGCTGAATGCAAACTGTTCCCTAAATCCGATCCATTAGTGAGCGTTCAGACCATTTGATCACTGCTGTGGATCAGAGGTAAGCTGGTATAACCAGACACTGAAACCATACAGCATACCCATTATAAAGACAAACAGAATATACTAAGCCAATAATATAGCCACACCCCTCTCCCACTCAAAGAGGAAAGGATCCGTTCCCATGCTTGCTCTTGTAATGGCACAACAGCAGGTATTCCACTCTAGCATTTGTAAAGTCCACTGGACAACGGAGCCTTTAGAGAACATCTGAAATTAATTTTCCTTGGTTCTCCCATTCTAGCAATATTGTTTTATTCTTCCCCATTTTCAAAGTATTCTCTCAGTGCAGACACTGCAAATAGTTATAAATTGTTGAATATACAGTAATAAGGATTTTATTTTAAAACTAATTGCACTCTTTATAGCAGACATTAAAAATCTAGCTTACTTCTAGGCCTCAATGTACTGTGACTTTTTTTTTTTTTTGTCCCAAAGCATTTCCTATTATATATTACAGCCCTAAAATTGCCTACAGAAGTCACAATTAGCCAGAACTTATTTCCTCATCAGCGTTTCCTGACTGTGTAATCGCTTCTCCTTGTCACCCTTTTGAAACCCCAAATATTTCTTACTGCAGAAAAGGTATAAAAAATTTAATTCCCTGGGTCCTCTTCTGGAGAGGGGTTCCTCAGGGGAACAGTGGAAGGTTCTTGACAGGCAATGTGGGAAAAGCTGTGGCCTGTGATACATTCGTCAAAGGCTGCCATCCTGGCTCACTTCTGTGCTACAACTGTATTTTCTTTTTCCCTGGGTTTTTCTCTCAGCCTCAGGACACGCTTTTTTATATATAACTATTTCCAGGAGTTTAAATACACTTCTATTATTTTCAGTGATGTTCCACCTTCCATTTCTTACTCTTTCCTTCATATTATTTTTAACTGCTCATCAAGTCCTCTTCAATACTCACATTCTGACGTATTTGCTGTCTTGCCCCCGTCCTTTAATTTCATCTTTATGTTGGCCACAAGATTTTGCCATCTGATATCACGATGGTGTACTTCGAGTGTTACATAGGACTCAAGTTGTATTTCTAGACTGTTCTCCAACCGCAATCACTTCTTTAGGGGTTTAATCTCTTCGTTTTTATGATGTGTTTTTGATACATAAAAAGGTATTTGAAAGAAAAACCTTGTACTTTGTACTCACTGTTCTAAAGCAGGCCTCAGTACTGCTCACTTCTTCCTTTTCCCCTAAAGCAGCCACTGATAGATACTGAAAAACAGCTGCTTCACCTCCTCCTCCCCAAAAAGACTACAGCCTTCTTCAGAATCTTATCCCTTTTGAAGAGCACCATTTTCATACTATGAATTTGTTGGCAGGACACAGAGAGCTTTCTGGGCACCATCTACAGTGATTGCTGGATTTGTTTCCATTTGCATGAAGAAGTTAATTTCTTGCCTAACGTTTAAAGGAACCCCCTTCTTTATAATTCCTGTGAACTTCCTCTCCTCCCTCTCTTACATTTCTTTCATTCTTTTTCCTCTACAATTCACTGCTGGTTTTATTCTTCATCAAATCTTGATTTATTTTGCAGCTTTGTTCCTCACTGTGAGATTTTCCACTCTTCTTGCTGTTTTAGGCCAATGACCTTGCTCATTAAATACTTCCATCAGATTTAACCATACAAATCCTTGCTTCTGTGGAAGACGTTAGAGGTCTGCTTTTTTGTTACGTGGATGGTGCTAACTCAAAGTCATCAATTCTAGTAATGGGACTTACTTTTGTTATTTTCTGTTTTCTTTCACCCTGCAGCAGCCATGTCTGATAGCACAGGCACTGCATGCAATGCTGTGAAGATCTGTGGGTATTTTTTTGGACAAGGGGGTGAGAGGACAGATAGGATATTTTTTTCAGTACAGTCCCCTAAATAGAAGACAGGGAGCAATGACATCTGCAAATCATCCCATCTCCTCCATAAAGCTCCTGCCTGAGCAGTGATGCACTTCCACAACACTTGGTGGTCCCCTAACATCTGAAATGCATTCATGAATTCATAATTACTTCAGCTGAAGTCGGTGGCAAGATTCAGTCACTGAGGAAGTGTAAAAATACATAATCTTAGGTGTTTTGTTTTGGGATGGCATGAACAGCAATCGTAGAAGGACAACATGCAGAAGCAGTGACGAGCTAAGTTTGGTTTCTGCATAGAACAATTTGTATCGCATACCTTTCACAGCTATTTCACACCCCTAAACAGCTATGATTCCACTGAATTGAAGGAACACTTAAATGGCAACTCTGCTTGAAGGACACACAACAGGGATAGGGTGCAGTCCTTTGCTCTCTGCATATCTCAGGCTGGATGTGGATTCTGCACAGCTTCCTCACTCTGATGAATTAGACAACTCTCTGACTCCACATGACCTACACACAGTATCAGTATTCTTTTATTAAAAGAAAAGAGATGTTTACTATCATTGCTCATTGGGCATCTTCTAACTTAAGTTTCTCATTTTAAAATAGTATATCCAAAACTTTCCTTTGAAACTTCTTGCACAGTCCTCACTGGGGCAGCTGAGGTTGCTTTTAGTTTTGTCAACACAAAACACATCACATCTCTAACTAAAAGGAGAGGCACAGATTCATTTACCTTAGAGTAGCATATGATCTAGTAATGGGATTTCTGGCATGGGATGCAAGATATAGAAGTCCCAAGCTCGTGCTACCTCTGATTTACATCAGGACAATACTTGTCAAGTATTGTATAATGGTCTATGCCATATGATCATGACACCACAGTCACATTTCTAAATACAGCTTGAGAGATGCTGAGAAGATCACAAGAGGCCCTGAAAGCAAGACTTTACAAGCAAAGATGCAGAAAGAAGCAATCAGAGATCAGGCTTTCCTGCTGAAACTGTTCCCTTCACGCAAGTTACTAAATATTAGATAGGCCAGAAAAAAGACTTCAAGATTTCAAAAAAATAAAATCCAGAAGCTACTGGCTTGTATGGAATTGGAAATATTTTGAAATCTCAGAATCTTAAAACTGAAGATTA